GCCTGACGACCGATTGCTAAGCATCATTTGGCTATACAAATTTAGTTTCATATTATTTATGGAGAGGGCAGTATCATCAGAAATGGATGGAATTGGACTGATATCCCTTCCAGGCATCATAAGTGAGCTAGCTGTACGTGAGTAACTCATGATCTAACATAGCTTCATATATATATTCTATTCTATTACAGTTAAACTCTAGCTTAATGAAAAATGATGGTCAGTGCGGTCCCTGAGATACAGCGTTTAGAGTGTCAACTGGAACAAAGCAAAGCGCATCAAAAATATTGCTTGACCAAAGAGGACTTGCTGAGCTGATATGCTTCTAGATGCCATTAAGGTTCAACTTTTATCGAACAACGACTTAAAAATCATAAATCATAAGCCTCAATTGAAGATAATGCAGTGCCTGAGAAAAGACTTTCTGCAAATGAAGCAGAAACCAAAGTTAATTTAATCACAAGTTGCATTGGACAAGTGAATAGGATTTACGAACTTAAAGTGGCGCGTTCGAGCCCCTTTAAGGTGCCCTGTGATTCGAATTGGACAGTTATTCATTTTTCATCGGCCTGGACAAGCTTTACCTATTGACAAAGTCTCGGCCACATGAGCTCTACATATCTATGAAGGATGTTAGAAATCATACACTCTATATATATATAAACATTGAGTTTCGAATTGAATAATTATATCCTTACAGTTTTTGTGAGCCACAAATTCAGTGGGACTGAATGAGTCTTCGAGTGCAGTGAAAGTGAATTGGGCAACTGACCGAACAGGCGGAGCAGGCGGAGCCCAGCCAGGCTGAGCCCGAATTGAGTTATCATAGAAATGAGTTATTTCTTAGATAAATCATCATAAGTAAGTGGACGCACATCAAGTCGAATAAAGGCAGACGCGAACCGAATGAACCGCTCCGATGACGATGCATACATATCGTAGCCATCGACTGACTTTGGAGCGCATTCAGCTCGACCAAAGAAAAGGACTGTTGTGAGTGGTCAGCCATAAGTGGATCGACTAGGATATACCCTATACACATCAGTTGTAGCATATGGATTAAGGTGGCTCGATTTTGATTTGTTTGATTTTCCTTTCACTACTAGTTCTAGTTCCCGTTTTCTAGAACAAATAGAAAAAATTAAAATGTAATTTTGCTTTCATTCTGAGTGAGTTCTAAACGGGTTCCAGTTGGAGTTTTTGTAAGCTTAATGAAAAATGAACAAATGGAAAATGCGTGAGTCGAAAATCCATTTACCTTTTATATTCAAATCCTGAATTAATTATAGCTCTAGTTTTTTTTTACAACAAATGGAAAATATGGGAGCTGAGAATTAATGTTGCTTTCCTTTTAAGTTTTGAATTGGTGTTAGTTTCAGATTTCGAGAGGCATTTATAGAATTTTTAATTTGAAAAAGGATTTTCAATAATTACTAAGTTTATACTAGTTCCATTTTATGATAATAATAGATTATTTTCTGTGATAATTTTTTATGTCATGGGCACAGTCTGCCCACATAAGATACCCTTCCTGAGCATAGACAGGGTATAGAAACAAACACAATTTTCCAATGGCAAACCGCAAAGCTGGAGAAAGTTGCAACAAGAGGCAAACCAAACTCCATTTTGGATATGGGTTCATTGCCAACAGTTATCAGTGGGGCTGCACGGCTCAAGGCTGGGGAGTGGGGTGGGGTGCAGGGCAGGGAATGGGAGCAGACGTTCCAAGGTGCAGTGGTTTAGCTTAAAGGACGAATTTCATTATCAATTAGAGCCCTCGGCTATAATGGAGCTGGTTCGCCTTAAAGTTCAAAGTCGGCAGCAAAGGCTAATGAGTTTGCTGGCAAATCCATTGGCCAGCGGGGTGGAGGGAGCAGCTATGGCAATGGCAATGTCGACGGGGCGTGGTCTGCAGTCGGTAGCCAAGTTTTGGATGACGGGACTGCCACCGAAATGTCAATTGCTGGATGCCTCTGGGCAAGTAATTATGTTTGATGACTCGCCGGTCGGGCATGCTGCACAGCACTAAAAGCAAAAGCGAATAAGCCAGATGAAGCAACGCAGCTCAAATAGAGATAAGTAACAATGCCGGAGCCCACTTCCAACTGGGACTTTGCCTGAACCAAACAGTGTGCATATATGTAGGGATAAATATACGCATACGAATATTTAATATAATAAATAATGAAATAATAAAAGCTAATAAAAAAATAATTCAATTTGAATATATAATACAATTTTATTAATTTTGGATTTATGTAAAAGACTTTTAATATAAAAATAATAACCGTAAAAACAATAAATAAAAAAAAATTAAATTACTTTTATTTTATTTGGTATATTTTCTTGGAAATTTTATCCTTGGCTGCACAAAGCAAAAATTTGCTTTGAATTAGCGCCATCTAGCGTAAAGTAGCAGCACTAAATAACTAAGCAGTTTTATTTACAAGTTTATGGCAAACAGTACACATAGAAATGAGAACATCGAAATCAAAAACATAGAACATTAAACAAACATAGCAGAAAGAATATTGCACATAGAAAGGAAAATATAGAAATAAAACAGCAAAATGAAAAATATAGAAAAACTAAGAAATCGACATCGAGCTGAACTGTTCGAAAAAAAACATAGAAAAATACAAATTAGTTGCAACAGTTGGAAGCGAAACAGCTAAACTGCTTGTTACAAATATACAGTTATATAAATATATATGCGTCTATTTATTTGTTGCACTCTTTCTTTATCTGTCCATTTTACTTATTAATATTATATTTTATGACTACAAAAATTATTTTGCTTTTTAATTACACCGTTGAAGCAATGATCAAAGTTAATTTTATAATATATAAAGAATTTCGGCTTATTCTACAATAGGAAACAAGATATACGATTACATTTAGATGTCAGCAAAAGCGCCACCTATCAATGTAAAATAACATTCAACTGAAATATTCGACAAATTGGAGCAAAAGTGATATTTAAGAAAAACATAGACTCTAAAATTGTAGTGATAAAATCTATAAATAAGCAGTGCGTAATTCTATGAATTCCCATCTGCAGTTTATCCTCAATACTCTTTCACGTGTATTCTAGACACGAACCCTTAAGGATTGTGTCTATGGTTTATTAGATTGCATACATATTTGATATTTTAATGCTTTAATATTCATAAAGCTTTTAAATTGTGCCCAAAATTGCTATTTCTTATTTGCTTTCCATATCTGTTCAGATGGCACATATCTATTTGCCGTTTGGCATTATCAAAATGAAATACATTTTGTATTGTATACATATATCTATATTTCCCAACTCTAGCTCTAACTCCAACTCTAATTATAACTCTAGCTTTAACTCTAACTTTAACTCTAGCTCTAACTCTAACCCCTATTTGGTTGCTTTTAGTATTGCCCTGCAGTTCCGAACAGCTCCTATGATTGCAGGACTCGGCCACTCTGGCAGATTGCCATGGCGACACTTGAGGAAGCCAAAACAAAGTGTTGCCCTATGTCATGCGTTTGCCGCAGTTTTTATACACGATTCATGGAAAATTGAGGAGCATGCTGGACAAGAGCAATCCGAGCAGCTTAAGTGCCACGGGCACCATACAGGAGATAGCCGGTCGCCTGGCCGAGGAGCAGGAGCGTCTGCGTCAGCTGGAGGCTAGCACCACGGCGCCCAAGGAGCGCACCCTGTTCGTGCTGGGCAGCAAATGTGTGGTAAGTGTGGCCAAGGCAGCTTCATGGGGGAATCGACTCAATGGGAAACTCGTTGCAGGGCAAGTCGATGGCTATAAATAGGTTCTTCGACCGGGAGGAGCAGACGACGCGCCCAACAATGGCGCTGGAGTACAGCTATGGTCGTCGCATGGGCAGCGGCCGGCATGCGCAGGTGCTGAACGTCTGGGAGCTGGGCTCCCTGGACAATGCGGAGCAGCTGCTGGAGGTGCCGATGCGCACGCATGGACTGCAACAGATGTCAGCCTTCATCATGATCGATCTGTCCCAGCCGCAGCGCGTCTGGGCGGATCTGGAGTGCGCGTATCGAGGATTGAGGGACACGGCTAGCCGGATGCTGCAGCAGGCGACCCCACAGCTGCGTGAGTATCTGGAGCGGCGCTCCTTGGAGCGCGTGAAACATGCTCAGCAGGATCTCAGCACGCTGGACCTGCTGCCCTTTCCCGTTGTCCTTGTGGGCGGCAAGTACGACATCTTCATGGACTTCGAGCCGGCCCTGAAGAAGCACATGTGTCGCTGCCTGCGCTCCATGGCGCACCTGATCGGTGGCGCCGTCTTGTTCTATTCACATAAGCTGCCCAAGCTGTCCAAGGTGCTCAGGGATACCATTAGCCACCTTGGTTTTGGCAGTCCCACCAACCCGTTTCGCGGACATGTTACGGACTACAATGAGGCGCTCTCCATTTGGTTTGGCACCGACAGCTGGGCTCAGATTGGCATTGGGGAGATGGCCGGACGCTGGAGTGTGGAGCGCATTGGCGCCACCCTCAGCGTTGAAGTGCCACAGCTGCAGCTGGAGAAACAAAAGCAGCAACTGCCTCAAGATCCAGCCAAGGATGCGGGCTTCAAGGAATCCATCATTGACGATATGCGCGCCCAGAAGGACGAGGAACTAGCTGCCATTCTGCGAGATCTTAACTTACGGGGAAAGTTTGAAAGTGTGATTTGCTAATTATGGATATAAATGGATTGTTATGGGGACTGTGGGAGCTCGTTTGGATATGACTTTGGATGACTCGCATATTTGTATTTATATATATTACTCCTATTATATTCTACTGGTGTATATTGTACTGGCGTTAATAAATAAAAGACAGTTTAATAGAAGTACACAAGTCTTACAAGGTTTATAGCGTGTATTATGGTTTTGTTGAATATTCCTGGGCATCAAGGCATAGTGATAAAAATAAAAAATATATTAGTTTTTATCGTCAAATTGCTTAAAATTGAACATAGCCAGGTCTTTTAAGTCACTCTGGAAGATGTATAAAAATATGTCACTCTTATAGCATAGAGAACTATTTCCAAATATATGTACGTACCTGTATGTATATTCAGTAAGTCAATTAAAGAGTATCACGTATTTATATGGTTCAGTGTATTTTATTGTATACATATAAATAAATTTATCAATTATGGAACCACCCACCGCGCCGGCCCGGGTTGTAAAGGTTTTGGGTCGAGTTGGGGCAAGGGGTCTATTCACGGAGGTTCGTGTGGAGCTGTTAAAATTTCCGCGCATGCAATTGCTCAAAGCAGTCAAAGGTGAATTGATATAATATTCAGTTTGTTGTCTCAATTCTAATAATATATACCTTTTCGAAAGGTCCCGTTCGTTTGGGCGATATTATTGATATTAAAGACGAGTTACAGGATGTTTGGCTTCCCAAATAGTAATCAATCAAGTTTAGAGATTAGTTTAAAAAATTTAGAAAGTCAATAAAATTCAAAATTTTACAAATTTAGCGCATTTTCGTTTCACAAAACAGTTGGCAGCACCCTAAATTGAGTTGCATTGCCACTTAAGCTTGAAACATTAACGTATTGTACCGTTAACTGCTGAAGAAGCTGTTCGCGAAAGCTTTTTCAAATCGGCGCTCAACGCAACTGCGCTGCCCACTCTCTCAGGCCGTCAATAACCAAACGTAAGCAAGCTACACTCATTGGCGACGCCACGACTTCGGGTACGTTTTGTTTTCTGCTTCTGCTTTCTGCTTTCGGCTTTCGGCTTGGGACTTTTGGCGTTCGTCTTTCGGCTTTTGCTCAGTTGATGGTGCGCGCTCGCGTATCGCAGTTGTTGCGTTGCGTTGTTGTCGAGCGGCGAGCAACGTCAGAGTAGTGCGTTCGTTGTATACATGTTGTGCATGTAATTGTGTGTGCCTTTGCGATTGTGCTGTGACCGACCGACATACACACACACGCACTCGACAACAGTTAAACTCCGCCAACTGCTGATTTTTAACGAAATATATATTAATTAAAAGTGTGAACACGGCCACAAAAAAAGGGAGCTAAGCAAATCAAAGATAAAAGTAAAATATTCGTATTTATGAAAGCATTCGACTCTTTTTCGGCATTGCCTCTTCGCTCAACTTCGTTTCGGCTCGTGAAGTTTTTCGCTGCTGTTGTGTAATCGAGCTGGAGTTGGAGTTGGAGTTGTGCGTGCACTTGTATTTGTATTTTACGCTTGCACACACATTCCCCTACGCACACTCACACACAGCGGAGTATTTTCAGAATTTTAAAGCTTAATAAGCTTAACTTTTTTTTTGGACGTGAACTTCAACTTGAAGCAGCAACCCAAAAATAGGAGAATAAAAAATAACGAAACAAACGAGCGAATAGCTCAAGCTGCCACAAAACCTATTAAAACAGGTGAGTTGCCATTTTGTCAGGCAATTATTAATAGCTTTCTATTAACATTCCCCTAAAAGAAAAATTGCTGCTCCAATTTCGATGCTCCCTCGCCGTGACACATTTCGGTGGCGAACAACAACAGTAGCAGAGCAGTAGCAGAGCGTCAGCAGAGCAGCAGCAGCCAAAAGGCAACAGCCGAAATCGCCGTATTATTGATTTTCCTTCCTTTGCAGCTCTGCGTTGGCGCTCTTATTGCTGCCGATTTCGTGTCCACGCAAACTTACATACATATATACATATGTATGTATCTATGCATGTACATCTTTGTGTGTGTTTCGTCACGGACGTCAACTTTCCTGCTGCTCCGTTTCCGCTTACCTTTTAACAGTCGTTTTTCTGCATTTGATTTTTCTTGTCACATTGCCAAATGCCAAATGTCGCCCTGTGCATGCTCGTGTGTGTGTGATTGCTTGTGTGTGTGCGTGTTAGCTCCTTACCATATGTTTGAGATTACGGCTGAGCGTTTCACCCCCAAAATCTCAATGGAGATTCTCTATTGTTGCCGACCTTTCCCACTACATCTGTGCATTGTCCTACGCTGCTTTTGTTTATGCCGCCCACTCGCAATCATTACTTAGATATATCGCAATATATTATATGTACTTTAGTACTAAATTGATTGAAAATGAATATATTGATTACAATTCGGTTGGGTTGAGATTATATGCATAACAAACATCTCAGCTATGAAGTACTTATATTTATATCTGCAGTTTACAGGGTATTAAACTAGTTGACTAGTTGACAGTATTATCAAATACAATTTTTAAAACATTCATTTACAAAAATTTCTTTTTTTGACTTAATGAACCCAACAGCGGTTAATCATAGCAGCTTTCAAAATCATTAAATATATTGTTTACCTTTTTAAGATTGTTGAGCATTTGTGTGGAATTTAAATTACATTCATACTCAATATATTTTACAACTTTTGACTTGTGTTTTAAAGCAGCGCTTCCCATACATTGACCTGAGTATCGATTAAAGATAAATAATACATATGAAACGATTTGCACTCAAATGCTAATTAGTTTCTCAAGCATGTTAAAATTATAGCAAAACGAATATAAAATGTGATAATTAATGCAAATTTAAAACTTTTCATTTATATTCTCGATGGACATTATTCAACTGACTTTCCTACAGTTTTCAGAGCTGTTCCTCAATGTTTGAAATATCTGTAAATAAATATAAATATTTGAATATGAATTAATATCATATAATATATATTATAATATATATTATAATATATATTATAAATAGCATTAATAGTCTACCATTCGACATTAATAGTCTACCATTCGTCTACCATTCGACATATACCCATACATTTGGGTATATGTATATATTCTACATAATTTTCTAAGTATGTAATTAGTAAGTCTCACCACCAAATTGGTAGGTATCGTAATTCAAGGCAGCAGTCTAGACTGGAACAAACTTTCTTGTCATACCTACTACCTTTCATATATATTTATATAATATATTTTATATATATAGATATCACAATTGCCTACATCCATACACCTGCCCGTTTTCTGGCGTTTAATTAAATCAATTATGAAATAAAGTTTGTGTAAGCGCTCTGAATTGAATATAGCTCTTAGTAAATAGACCATTAACACTTAATAAATTTTTAGCCCAAGTCATTTGCCTAAAGAAAAAGTGTGTAGAAATACTATAAATGTGTGCTTTCATTATTTCCAAACAAATAGAGTGGAACAAATGTACTTAAATAATAAAATAAAAAAAAAATAAAAACATTGTTGACACATTTAACAGAAATAAACATTTACATATATATTCATCCACAAAATGAAACAATATCCAAATATATTCGCAACTTTTGTCTTTGTTAAAAGCTTTTTTGATAACGCTAAGCGCCTGCCTATAATGTCATTTGTCATATTTTCACTCGATAACATTTAAATTGATAGGTACAATCGCGAAACCAAGAACAAATAATCCACACATTATACCGCAAAGCTTATGCATTTTAGTGTGCCTTTGATTTATAGTCACTAAAAGAAAGTATTCGAGCACGTTCACTGCATGAAGAAGTATTTGTAAATTGATTCAATTTATTTTCCTCCATACCTTTCTAATGAACTTATATATATAGATGAAAATATATTTGTTGCAGTCATCAATATTGGGATTTCAATAAGACAGAAGCATTTGAATTCTTGCTGAGGAAAAAAACGAATTACAGCTCCCTGAGACTCGCTTTACTTTATATATTTAATGTAAGAACTAAGAGCTAGATGAAAACTGTCCACGGTCTAGCACCACATTTTAAGTTGAAAGTTTTTCCCTACCTAGACAATACTCATATATGGCAATCTGTTGAAAAGTTCTGCTCACTCCTTTTATTCCACATTGAAGGTAAAACTGAGTTACCTTCAGCTAAATTTGTATTCCTAACTAGCTGCACTTCAAGCATGACTAACTGGACCCCAGCTGTTGCACTCGAAATCACAGTCAAAGTTTTTCCCTCTTTTTATATGGGAAGTAGAGATCTGAAGAACGGTTCCACAATCACTGAACCGTCAACAAGAGCAACAATCACAACAGCAGCAATGACTTCAAGTTGTTCAGTTGCTGCACTCTGAACACTCTGCGTGTATCTTTGAGATACATTCACTTACTGCCTCAATGTGCCTTGTGCTCTATGGTCATAAATGAGCAGCCAAGCATGACAACGCGCACTCCCAGCGGCATCCGCAAAACCTTCACTTAGCCGCGTTCTGAGCAAACCAAACCAACCAAGTTCGTTGTTCTCACTACTTTATCGAGCTCTTGCGTCGTCTCTGATTCTGGATCCGGCTCTGGCCCCCTTTTGTGTGGGGCCTCTAGCTGCGGATGTCGTGTGGAGTGTGTGTGGCTGCGACACTCATAACGTGTGCATAACTTGTACTTTTATCACAATTCTTTAACTGCCTTTCATTCAACATTAAGAGGCACTCTCTGCTGTCATCTATGACGCGTTGTCTATTAGTAGAGGTAATTAGCTTCTCCAGCGATTCGTAGTTTTCAAGCAATTTTTATAAATGCTTCTGAAGGTGCAGATTCATTACTCTTCAACCTTTGCACTCCCTCCACACTCCTTTTCATCTAGAAAGGTTTTCTATTATGAAATGTCCGACTACGACTTACCTGACTCGGAGATACCCTAACTATAGATATCCGACTAGGAAATTTGAAAAGACGATATCCGACTTAGATATATCCGACTAAGAGATACTTGACCAAGGAAAACCCTTCTAGAAGATACCCGGCCTATACTAAGATATTCCAATATAATTTCAAGTCTCTGGCTCTTATAGATTTCTAAGTCTGATAGACGAACAGCCAGAAAGATTTATAATGCTACATAAACTTATGTAGTATTCTTGACATCGAATGGGATCTCGTACATCAAATTCATCTTACATTTTAGGAACAATATTACACCCCAATTAAATGTCCTATAAGTTGGGGACACATCCGTGAGCAACTAAAGAGTTCTATTGCAAATTGACCAATAAACGATATTAGTTTCTCTCTTCTCATTTTCTAATCCTATAAAGGTATTAATTTTAAGCTCTACACCATTCGAATTGCACCCAACTTAGAGTTATGGCAGCTCACATGCAACCTATAAATTGACTACTTAAAAGCATATGCGGTTTCTTCCCACACTGATTCCCAAATCCATCGACAAGTTTGTGTGTTGGTGGATTCGTCCGCTGTGTCATCAGTTAACCAAAAATGGGCTAAGTAAATCGTAAATCTCACCTAAGTGTTAAATGAGTTTGTAGTTAATATTTAAATGAAACTTCTCATGAAAGATATGTATATTTTTTCTACCTTTCATCATGGATATGTAATTTACAGTCAGTTTGTAGAGCAGGTCATTTGTGCTGTCATTTTCCATGATATACATAGTAGGACTTTGATGGAAATATCAGTAATTATCCTTGATTATTAAACTAATTTGTCGCATATCTAGGATATCCACTTAAATTTTTTAATTGGTATCAGTCAATCAATCGACGGATTGTT